TGGATGGGGCTTGGAGCAACCTGGGCTAGTGGAAGGTGTCTCTGCCCATGGCAGAGGGTGTAATGAGATGGGCTTTAAGGTCTCTCCCAACCCAAAGATGATTCCCTGAGATGGTGGAACTGCAAAGTGAAGCAGCTCTGTCCTGCAGAGCTCACTCCCTGACTGCACAAGGGAAGGAGAAGACCCAGCCATGGAGAAGAGAGACACAGCAGAGCACAGGGAGGACCTTCCATGGGCAGTCAGGGATCCCCAGAAAGCCCTGGACAGATGGTCCTGGACCTGCAGGAGCCCCTTCCAACTCATGGTACCACACCCAGCACCCCCAAAAGGGAAGGGCTGGTGCCCAAATATGGCCAGGCTGGAGCATTCCTGGGCTTAGGAACAGGAGCAGCTCCTGCTTGGGACAGGATCATCCCTGACATGGGACTGGGGTGGCTGTGGCTCAAGAGTCTCCCCAACCTGGGCCTAGCAAGGAGAGGCAGATACAACCCCCACAGTGGTGTTCCCAGCCCCTGAGACCCCACAGGGCCTGGGGCAGGTGATGCCCCAATCTGCTCTCCAAACCATTCAGATCATTGCTCTCCTTCCCAACCATCTCTCAGGGGAATCCCAGAACAGTCCAAGACAGTGTTGGGGGCACTTTTCCCACTCTGTGTCCCAGCACTCCTGCAAGGGCACCTTCAACTTACACAAGCTCTGATATTCTCATCCCTGCTGATCCATCCCTGCTGCTGGCAGCTCCAAAGACAAGGGAAATCCCTGAACTAGCAGGACTTGACATTCCCAGTGATTACACACTGGGAGAGGAAGACAGGCAGCTCTTGGAGCTTCTCCAGTTCTCTCACCCCCTTCTCTATCAGTCCTGGCCACCTTGAAGTTGTGAGTTCCTTCTCCAGCTGGATCTCAGCCCTCCTGAACAACCTGGACTCTCTCTCCCATCCCTAATGGAATCTCCTGATCCCATTCCCACACTCTTTTCTTGCTCTTCTGGGTTTATTTTCCCCCATTTTATGAGCACACCTCACCTTCACATGACAGTGTAATTACAACATCTCTGCTGCCTCCTTGAACCCACGATGGTTTTAACCAGGGCAGTTCCCCCCTCTGGAGAGGCATCCAGTGTTCCTAAGTGCTGTTGTCTTCCTTTCCAGGCTCCCAGTGACTTTATTGCAAGGACAAGCAGGTGAGCAGGCACACAGTGAACAGCAGCAGAGCTGCACTGAAGGTTTTTACCATTTTGGTTCTTGCAGACACACAGGAACAAACGCTTGGAAGTTGGGAATGGGATGGAAGAGGGTTTAGAGAAAAGCAGGAATGTCCCAGTTTGAACTCCAGCCAAGAGGCAGCTCCTCCCAGGGCCCATCACTGCCACTCCTTCTGCTCACCCAGAACCATGGAATCAAGGTTGGGAAAGCCTCTTGAGATCATTGAGTCCAACTATTGGCCCAGCACTGCTGTGTTCACACCAAACCACGTCCCCAAGTTCCACACCACACATTCCTTGAACACTTCTAGGGATGGGGACTCCACCACTGCCCTGGGCAGCCCCTTCCAACAACTGACCACCCTTTCCATGAAGGAATTTTCACAATATGAAAACGTGAACCTCCCCTGGCACAACTTGAGGCCGTTTCCTCTCATCATGTCCCGTGTTACCTGGGAGCAGAGCCTGACCCCCCAGGCTTCCCCCTCCTGTCAGGGGGTTGTAGAGAGCAAGAAAGTCCCCCCCTGAGCCTCATTTTCTCCAGGCTGAGCCCCCCCAGCTCCCTCAGCTGCTCCTGCTGCTCCAGACCCCTTCCCAGCTCCTTCCCAGGACACCTCCCCCCTCAGTGCCCACTCCTTTTCTCCAACCCCTTGTCCCCAGGCTCAGATCCATCCCCTGTGCTCCATGCCACGTTTCCCTGCCTTTATCCCCTCCAGCAGCCTATGAACACCTGGGATGGGAGGAAAACCTTTGAGGCAGCTGCTTTAGGGCCACTCTACAGCACCTACTGCTGAGCTGTAGGAACTGGGACCTCTCCTGGCACAGCAGCTGCTCCCCAAAGTCATTGTCACCTCATTCTCCTCCTTTTCCCACCCTTGTTTCACCATCCACCCTCAGCACCAGCTGATTCCCCCCTCCAGTCATAAAACCAGCACATCTTTGCTGCAAAGCCCCATTCCGTCCTCCAGCCATTCCAAAAGAAACTTGGAAGAGAGAGATTCAAGAAGTTCTTTATATTATATAGACACCTGCACCATTCTCCTCCCACCAGGGGACAGAAACCAAATCCTTTCCTGCTCTGGACACCAGAAGAAACCTCCCTTGGAAGGGTTTCACTTCCGTGTATTTCTCTTTCCCGAAGCCACGACAGATCGTGGCCAAGCTGTGGAGAAGTGACACAGTTTTGGATGGGCCTCCAGAGCATCCTGGAGGTTTGGTTTATTTACCTGGACAGGCAATCACTCCAGGGAATCATTCCAGTTCCTCTCCAGCACAATTCCCAGCTGCTCCTCAGCCTTTCCTCTCTATGAAGGCCGTGTGCTGCCCCTGCAGGTAACTCACAATTTTCTCCTCTATCTCCATGCCCTGTGCTAGTTCCTCCTCAGAGAGGGACAGGGGGGTCTGTGAGTCGCTGGTGACGATGATGACGGAGGTCCTGCGGGATTCCAGGACGTTGGCCACCACCACCTGGTGCCGGTACTTCTCCAGAGCCTGCCGGGACTTGTCGATCAGGATCTGGGGATCCGTCTCCAGCTTGAAGGAAATCACAAAGGCCTCAGGGGCCCAGTCTCTGACCAGGGGGGACAGCATTTTTGGCACCATCTTCATTGTGATCTGTGAAGGACAAAAGAACCCCTCAGCCGAAACGTCACAGTGAGTTTTAGTAAGAGAGGAAATTCCAGCTCGCAGCGGGAAGTTCTGCAAGGCAGTGTTTGATCAGCCCTCAGCAAACAGTGCTCAAATGTCACTGCAACGCCCTGTAAATGGAACTTAAAGGATCAGTGAGGTGCCACCAAAGAGCAGGGTGTAAACTCAATTCAACTTAATTCAACTCAATTCAATTCAACCCAACCCAACTCAGTTCCATGACCAAAGTGCTACCCACAAAAAGCAGGGGAGTTCTGAAGCAGGGCCACAGGAACTCTGCATTCCCAGAGCTAAACCCCACTCTGGGAATATAAATATAAGCAGAGGAAGATTTAAAAAAAAAAATAAAAAAAGCATTACAGCTTCAGAAGTCTGAGTTTTTCAGCTCTCTAGAATCCAGGCAGTTTATTCCACCTTCAGCTTTGCTTCTCTCAACTCCTTAAGGCATATGAGGCTTCAAAGTCCCAAAGCACAGGGGGGGAAAAAGTAGGAGACTCTGTTCTCCAGCTTCCCATCACTGGGAATCAGGTTGGGTCCCACCTTTCTGGTGCTAATGATAAAGAAAGAAGCCCAGAAGCTGATTAAATTCAATTAATTTGGTGTTTGTTACACATAGAGCTCTGGAGTCAACTGCTCCCATCACTGAGAGGGCAAGAGACGTGTGTGTTGGACCATCATCAGTGCAGGCAGGATGGATCCAGAGTTGTGGAATGGTTTGATTTGAAAGAGACTCTAAAGACCATCTTGTCCCACCCCCTGCCATGGGCAGGGACACCTTCCACCAGCCCAGGTTGCTCCAACCTGGCCTTGGACACTTCCAGAGATGGGGCAGCCACAGCTTCTCTGGGCAACCTGTGCCAGGGCCTGCCCACCCTCCCAGGGAAGGATTTCTCCCCAAAATCCCAGTCTGGATCAAGCCTCTTTTAGGTTAAAGCCATTCCCCCTTGTCCTGTCACTCCAGGCCCTTGTCCAAAGCCTCTCTCCAGCCAGAAGGCAGCAACTCAAGTACTCCAGGAGCTATTCTTGGAGCACTTCAGCTCCCTGAGACCCACCTCTCCTCGTCTCCACGGAAGCACAGACAGCTCTAAAGGACAAAGCCAGAAGAGCAGGAGGCATCTCACAGGTGCCCCTTCACATTCCACAGCCCAACTGCTGATATGTTGGAGCTGCTGCCTCTCACACCCAGAAAGAGCAGTGCTGGACACCGCTCCCTCCCTGTGGATAACCCATGGATAACCCACGGATAATGCATGGCACCACTCACTGCTGGGGCTGGAGTTTGCCACTCAAGCCCCTTCATGCCATCCTAAAAATAAACCTGGATCAAAGCAAAGCAGGGCTGACCCTGCCCTGCCCTTTATCTGGGCCCCTTGGTGCAAGATAAGAACAAAACAATGCAACTCCAGCATTTCCAACCCTGTGGAAATACTCGCCCTCCCATTCCCTCTGAGAACACACATGAGCCGGTGCTTTGCAGCTTTCCCAGGCTTTATCCACAGCCAGGGAGCAAGGAGGGGGTGGCAGAGGAGGGTGGCAGAGAGGGGGGGGCCTCACCTGCAGGGGCCCCTCCGAGGACTGGATCTTGTGCTCAGGCATCTCAGAGGCCGGAATGTAGAAATCGGACACGGCGGCTGCCAGGTAGAACATGACACTGGAGCCTGTGGGAAAGAGCTGCTGTCACCCCTCCATGGCCTGGCCCTGTCACCCCTCCATGGCCTGGCCCTGTCACCCCTCCATGGCCTGGCCCTATCACCCCAGGGACCCCAGAGCCAGCAGGGCCCCCCTCAGAGCACCCCCAGCACCGCCCCGAGCAGGGCAGCGCTGCCCCCTCACAGGGGTCCCTCACACACACCATCCCCACTGGGGTCTGCCTTGCCCCAGATAAGAGGTCCATTCATGCCAGAGCCCCACAGTCAACAGGGCCACCTTGTCACCTCATACTTGGGCTCAGGGGCCACCCTGAGGGGGCCATATTGTCCCTTCACACCAGGGACATCCCCCCTCACCTGGCCCCCACAACCACCACGTCCCCTCATGCCCACATCCCCCAAATGGGGGCCCACGTCCCCTCAGGCCTGGGCCCCCTCCCGAGGCCACTCTGTCCCCTCACACTGGGGACCCCCAAAGGGGCCTCATCCTTCTCTTGCCTTACACCCCCCACACCAAGGCCACCCCAGTTCTTCCCTGTCCCCTCACACCAGGGACCCTCCTGGGGCCACCTCATCCCCTCACACCCGGTGTCCCCCCATTTCCTCCACCCCTCACACTGGGGAGCCTCACAGGGGCCTCGTTCTCTCTTGCCTTCCACTCCCCCACCTGAAGGCCACCCTGTCCCCTCATTCCTAGGTCCCCCCAGTTCTTTCCTGTCTCCTCACACCATGGGGGGACCCTCCTGGGGTCACCCCATCCCTTCCCACCTGGTATCCCCCCAAGTTTTCCACCCATCCCCTCATACCCAGCTCCCCCCTATTCCCTCACACTGGGGACCCCTATGTGGGACCTTGCCCTCTCTTGTCCTTCTCCTGCCCCCCACCTGGACCATCCCACCCCCTCGTTCCCAGGTCCCCCCTGCTTCTCCCTGTCCCCTCACACCAGGGACCCTCCAGGGCCACCCCACCTGCTCACACTGGGAACTCTCATGGGGGGCCTCACCCTCTCTTGCCCTGCTTCTTGGCCACCCCATCCCCTCATTCCTGGGTCCCTCTGGTTCCCATGTCCCCTCCTGCTCGGACTTCACCTGGTTCCTCCTCATCCCCTGTGTCCCCCCATCCCCTCACATCAGGGACCCTCCTGGGCCACCTCATCCCCTCATACTGGGGACCCCCATGGGAGATTTCATCTGCTCTTGCCCTGCTC